TTCATTTCCCCACGGAGCAGCTGGGGGAGTGGAACTGCCAGCTTCAGGTCAACAGCCCGGTCTCCTCACCCCGTGTTTCACCTGCTTCTCTGGTGTTCTATGTGTCTGAGTCTGTCATGCCCCTATCTACACCTCTTCCCATCCATAAGATGTGGACAGTAACCCTGCCCCAATAGATGCACATTCCAGAGTGTGTCTAACCCTGTCCCACACCAAAAGCCCAGACCTAAGCTAGGGGTCAAAGTCAAGCTCCAGGTCAAGCCCTGCCTGGGCAACCCCTCTCCTTACACCACATAACCCTTCTCACCTTCACTTCCACAAAACTACATCCAGCTGGCCCAGAGGGTCAAGGTCAAGGGTCGCTTAGGAGTCATACTGAGGCCACCTGTGGCTGAGAAGGGCACACTGCAGACTCTCTGGCCAGGCCTCTTCCTGGTGCACAAGAGTCAGATACTGCAGAGAACCCACCTGGTACTGACTCTGTCTAAATAAGGCTGAGGGTCCAGCAGCCCAGGTTCTAGCCCCTGTTTGGGGCCCAATGGCTTGGTGAAGAGAGGCTGGAATCCAGGGAGACAGAGTGAAGGTAGGAAGTGGAGAATTGGGGACCCTGAGGCATGTGCCTCCCCAGCAAGGCCAGTGATTCTTTCCTTCTTTCCATCCTTCTTTCTTTCCTTCCATCCTTCCATCCTTTTTTTCTCTCTTCCTCCATCTCCTCCTTCCTTCCTCCTTCCCTCCCTCCCTCCTTCCTTCATTCCTTCCTTCCTGAGGGGAAACACTGGGGAGGTAAAGGCAAAGGGTCAGGAGAGACAGAGACAAGGGGGAGGAGAGTGACAGAGAGACACAGCTACAGAGACAGCTTTGTGATTGTTAATAGTAAGAGCCTTAGAGTCAGCTGTGATTCATAACAGCCCTGTGAATAATAGATCTGAACTCTGTCCTGCCCTTTCTCATCATCCACCACACACTTGACCCAATTATTGCAGATACTGTATCAGTCCATCCCATTGAGGGTCTTTCTCTCTTTTGCTGACCCTCTACACTTCTAAGCATGATATGACTTTCCAAGGAATGGCCTCTCCTTGGAACATGTCTAAAATATGTGCAATGAAGTGTCACCATTGTCACAGTATTTTTGCCGGCATGGAACAGCGACACCCTGATGGTGGTAAGTGTGACAGAGACACACCAGAGCGCTGCAGAGAGCTAAACTCAACTTTACTGGGGCTTGCAGTACACTTATATACAGGCGAGTAAACAAAAAGACAGGATGGGGTGGGATTGTAGACGTGGGACATGCGGATTGGACCAGAGAACCTCTGCTCAGTGCAGACCACTCAAGCAGGTAGCCAGAAAAGAAAAAAAGATACTTCCAATCACTTCCATGTATTTGTTGGGGATCTGAGCCCAGAAATAATAACAGAAGATATCGAATCAGCATTTGCCCCTTTTGATAAAAAATCAGGTGCCTGGGTAGTTAAAGACATGGCCACTGGGAAGTCCAAAGGCTACCGTTTTGTATCTTTTTATAACAAACTGGATACAGAGAATGCAATCATGCACATGGGAGGCCAGTGACTGGGTGGCCGGCAGATGCGCACTAACTGGGCCACTCGGAAACCGCCAGCCCCGAAGAGCACGCAAGAGAACAACACTAAACAGTCTTGGTTTGCTGCTGTGGAAACCAGTCAAGTCCAAAAACTTGGACTGTCTACTGTGGAGGAATTGCTTCAGGGCTAACAGAACAGCTTATGAGACAGACATTCTCACCATTTGGACCAATTATGGCAATAAGAGTTTTTCTAGTTAAGGGCTATTCAGTGGTCAGATTTTCTACCCATCAAAGTGTAGCCCACGCTACCATGTCAGTGAATGGTAGTGCGATTCAAGGACATGATGTTAAATGCTATTGGGGTGAAAAATCTCCTGATATGACTAAAAATTTCCAACAGGTCGACTATAGCCAGTGGGGCCAGTGGGGCCAAATGTAAGGAAACCCACCACAGTATGGACAGTATGTAGCAAATGGGTGGCGAGTGCGGCCCTGTGGAGTATATGGACAGGCGTGGAGTCAGCCAGGCTTCGGATCCGTCCATCACCTTCTGCTTGTTGGATGGGCGGATTTGGTGCTCAGCCTCCCCAAGGACAAGCTCCTCCCCCGTAATACCTCCTCCTCACCGAGCTGGACGTGGAATGGCAAGTTACCAAACACAGTGAGCTGGGACTCTAAGTGAAATTGTAACTCATGATGGGCTTCAGTTCCCTGTGACGCTCTGAAGACATGAATTTAGACACCAGAATAAAGGAAATATTTATTTTAAGAAGTGAAATCTTTGGAACCTTTAACACAGCTTTGCTTTGGTGACGAACATGTCTTCTAGTTCTGCCTTTTTAAGCCGCATTGCAGTAAGAGATGGCCTCTGAGCGGGACCCAGACACCAGCCCCAAACCCACTAACTCCTACTCATGGAGATGCATGGAATTTTGTGGCTATAACCTCTCTGCTGGGAGGAGACCATCCACCTGTCAATCAAGGAGCAGTGAGTAGATTCAAACCCCTGACCTTTAGGTTAACAGCTCAGCTCTCACATGAGGCTCTTCAGCACCAGGGCTCATTCTAGGGACCTGGGTACATTATTCACCTATGGAATCCCCTTAAAGGGTCGGAACTCACCACTGACCAGCCATGTCAGAGCTCCAGGCTATCAGGAGAAGCCTCGTGGCTGGGGGGCAGCCCCCGCCCTGCATGGGGATGCCTAGGACATGCTGAGGCCTTCATGGTGCAGAGTTTACCCTGGTCACCCTGAAAACCACAAGTTAGAAGCTTGACACAGGTGGATTTCTGCCCACGGCTGTGCCTCTCCCATCACCTAAAATGGAAAGATGTCAGAACCCACAGGGGCTTTCTGTGGTGGGAGTTGGGAGGACAGGAAGGCTGGGGGTCAGCTGCCGTCAGGGCCGTGTGGGGCGAGTAAGCGCCGTGCCCCTAAGGAGATGGTATTAGCCTGTGTCAGGGCTCCAGGGCCGCTGTAACAGACACGCCACTCGTGGAGGGATGGAACACACAAAACTTTAGTCTCTTGCTGCCAGGAGGCCTGAAGTCACTATTCAGGACTAGGGGAGGGTGTCTGCTCTCAGCGTCTGTGAAAATTTGTAGAAGATTTCAATGTGTCTTGATGTCACTGTATTCCTGGATCTGGAGGCTCCCAGTGCAGGACCCCTATGCAGAGGTTCCCCTCCTGACCCTTCCTCCTTGGTGGTGCAGGTGCCCCCTCTCTCCATGCTTCTCTCTAATCTCAGGCCACATCCCAGGGAAGCCCCTGTCATCAATCCAGGGGAGTGTGGGATTAAGGATGTTCCACTCCACCCTTAACCCTTTCACACCTGATTGACCTGATAGTGGTGACCATTACATAACAGCTGAACCACCAAGACTCCTCGCTCAGACAGGCTGACATGTATTTCCAGGGACACAATCAATCCGTGACACTATCTTTTTGGAATATGATGATATTTTGTTTTTTTCATCATGGCTTTTTGTTCTCCCACTTTCATCGTGATTTTTTTAACAAAATGCCAGGCAATATGTTTTATCAGCATGACCGAGTTTTAAGTGCCTTTTAAATCTTTGCATACTGTTTTGTGTTCTCTCAGCGGCATTCTCTCTTCATTCTTTTAGTGGCTCCAGGGTGGATAAATGTCCTTGTGTTTTCCACTTTCTAGAGACCTCCTGATTTCCTTGACTTGTGGTTCCATATGGTTCTCGGCTCTAAGTCCTTCCTCACATTGTCTGCTGTATCCAGGACGTTGACTCAAGGGAAGGCTTTCTCTCTCTAGCTATCCTGGGGGATGTCCTTGTCTCCTTTCAACATCTATAGGCCCAGCATTCCTTGGAAATCCATGCAACCTGACATCAGTCATTCCCATGGGTCTAGAAAGTTCTCAGCACAGGGATCCCCTAGTCCAAAGATGCACTCTGCTTGCAGCTCTTCTTTCTGGTGGACCTTCCTTCTCTGCTTGCTTCTTTCTCCTTTAATCTCTTGTTAAATAAAAAAAAATTATGCAGACCACATCCAGGGAAGCATCCCTTACAAGGCTGTGTGACCTAAGTGAGGATGCTGCATCTCACCCCAGACCTTTTACACAGGGAATCAAATCAGCTCATCAAAGGGGATTGACTACATCATTGCATAGCTTCCGCACCACTGGAAATCACAGTCCATCCACACTGACATCTATTTGGGGGGATACAATTCAATCCATGACAGAACCTCTTGTTTCCCTATTATAGGAGCCCTTGTGATTATATCACTCAATAATCCAGAATAATCCTCTAGATCAAGAACCACACTTTAATCACATCAGCAGAGCCCCTTTTGCCTTGCATGAAGGTTCTAGGGACAATGACAAGGACATCTTTGAGGGGCATTATTCTACTGGCCAAGATGGATACTTAGGGCAGGCCTCTCTTTGAGTTGGACATAAATGAAATGCAGTCAAGCCCTTGGACAATCTCTGATCTTCAAGGCTTTGCTGCCCCATTTTCTCCTCAGGGAAACCTCCCAGACCTAGCTCCCCTAACCCCAGGTCTGTCTCTCCCAACCCCCCTGGTCAGCACTAACCCCAAGAGAACAGCGATTAACTGTATCTTTGTCTCCTTTGTCCCTGTGATCTCAGCTTCCAGAGGACAGAGCCCAGGTCTGAGAGCCCAGTGGATTCTCATTCGTGTTCACTGAATGAAAGGAGAAAGATTCTTAATTTAAATAGTAATAGTTCTTTTTAATAAAATGATGATGATTCTCACATTCACATGTCATTGTCCACCACAGTGGGACAAAGAGGAAGAACATCCCCATTTCACAGGTGAGAAAACTGAGGCTTAAAGACGTTAAATTCACTGGTCTGAGTCAGTCCAGCAACACAGCAGCAAAGTCAAGTACTTGAATCCAGGCCAGCATGGTCCCTTGTGCACCATTGCAGGGCTGCTGGGAGGAAGGACAGTACTAGTTGCCCGGAGTGAGGGGTGAAGTGGCAGGAAGACTCCAGTCACTCGACTCCCCATAGCCTATGAGATTCTGAGAGTTGACCTGGATGCAGTACCTGACATGCGGCCGCACAAACTTGAGTGTGAAGGTGGTATCTCCAGTGGGGCCCACCTGAGAACAGAGAGAGGTTAGGTCACTTGAATAGCAGGACATGAGGCAGCCTTCTGTCCTCCCATCTATGGGATCTGGCCTCATTTCAAGCATCACACACACACACACACACACTCCCCTTGGGCTCTTCCCTTCCTAACCTATTCACCCTCCAGTATCCACCTTCACCCTCACATCTCAGCTGAACTTGAGTCCATTGCAGCACCTGCTGTGTCAATCCACGTCAATGAGGGTCTTCCTCTTTTTTACTGACCCTCTGCTTTTCACACATGCTGTCGGTCTCCAGGGAATGGTCTTGCATGATACCATGCCTGAAGTGTGTGAGATGAAATCTCACCATTTTCTCTTCCAGGGAAAATTTGAGATCTACTTCTCTCAAGACAAATATGTTTATGTTCTGGTCACTCCACGGTCACCTCCTGGCTCTTGGGAAGACAGCTGGAGGGACGCCAATGTGTGGATGTGCATTTCATCTTGTGGGTGGACTGCTGGAGGTGAAATTGCTGACTTCCTTTATTTTACACACCAGTCACCCTAACGTACACACAAGCCCTGCTGGCCCTCCACAGTTTGCGTGTGATGTCCCATCTAGCGGGGTGGCCATACCCGGTATCACTCCAGGCCCCTTTCTGCCCTCCCTCTCGTGAGCCTCACCTGCCAGAAGCGCTTGGATTTGCAGCGCTTGTAGCGAATCTGGTATTTGAGTCTGAAGACATTTGGGAAGGGCCAGGTGTGGGGTGGATCCCACTGCACCTGCAGCTGATTCCCAGGGATGTGGTTCAGGTGGACAGCCTCTGGAGGGTCCGGTTTGACTGACGGACAAGCAGAAGGCATTCATTCATTCATTCAACAACAAGTATGTATGGAGCACCCACTGCATGTTCAGTCCTGTCTCAGAGGCCAGACATAGAACTAAGACAGAAACCACCCCAGATCTGTCCTCCTGGAGATTCTAGTCATCAAACAAATGACGAGAAACAGGAAAGGAATTATCAGCTCACAAAGAGCAGGCAGCAAAGTTTGGGAGGAGGTTGTCACTTCAAAAACAAATTACATTACAAAACAGGCAAAAGACATGGAAAGAATTTTCTCAGAGGAAGATATTTGAATGGCAAACAGATACATGGGGAAAAATATTACATATCACTGGCAATAAGAGAGATGCAAATCAAAACAACAATGTGTTACCATCTCACTCCAGTGACAGTGGCAAAGTTTAACAGGGAATCAAGTAATAAATGTTGGAGAGGATGTGGCAAGAAAGGAACTCATATGCATGGTTGGTGAGATTGTAAAATGGTACAACCATTCTGGAAGGCAGTTTGGCACTTCCTCAAAAAACTGAACATAGAAATTCCATATGACCCAGCTATTCCACTACTTGTAATATACCCTGAGAATATGAGAACTGAGGCATTAACGGAGATCTATACACCAGTGCTTTTAGTAGCATTATTCACCATTGCAAGAACATGGAAAACGCCCAGATGTCCAACCACAAATGAATGGACTGAGAAATTATGGTTCGTTCACACCATGGAATACTATGCAGCACGCAGGCGCAATTATTTTGTTCATTATTACTTAACTTGGGAGGGACTGAAGAGCATTATGCTGAGTGAACTAACTCAGTCCCACAAGGAGAATTACTGTATAAAACCATTATTATACAATGAGTATAACGATCCAAGAAGGGTGGGAGAGGTTGGAAGCAGATAGATGAGGATGTGCACTGGGGGAGGGCAGGGTGGGGACAAAGCATGGCATGTGGGGGGTCCCCTGAATATGGAGAGGACTTGGGGTTTTACCCAAGGGAGGTGGGTGCCCTGGGAGACTGTGGGCATAGAGTAAGGACGGATTCCCACGCTCACGGGCGCCCTCTGGCCGCAGCGGGGAGAACAGCTTGTGGGGGCTGTGAGACCAGGGCTGGGCCAAGTGGAGGAGGAGTGGGGACGAAGTGGGCAGAATCTGCATAGATTATAGAGAGGACAGGATTGGAGGACAGGTAGAGAGAGGAGAGAAGAGCAGAAACCCCCTCATAGCCTCCACCTCCATCTCAAATGCTCTCACTCACTGATTTGCTCAGGCACAAAGGGCAGGAGGGCGGTGGTGACACCACTGGGGTGGATGGCCGTGACATTGAGCACATGGGGCACCGTGGAGAACATCATGAAGTCCAAGATGGTACAGCTGGTGGAGCCGGGTGTCTGCTGAAGGCAGGGCTTGTTCTCTCCCTTGTTTTCCATTCCAAGCCTGCAGGAGATGGGCTCTGTGAGGGGCTGGGAGTCTGTGATTGCCAGGGAATGGGGAAAAGGCTCTGAGTCCTGCTCGAGCCCCTGTCCTGTGGCTGTGCAGGCACCGGACCTCCCCAGGGAGATGCTGGAGTGTTTGGATTCTAAGGGATTCTGGAATGTCTACCCCCCACCTGTGGAATTTCAATAGTCCAGAGGCTTAGGGATTCTCAAACTCTGGAATCAGAAACAAGGGCATCCCGGTTTGTACATTTCTGTGACTCCCCAGATTTCAGGACTTGAAATGTTCTTGGAATTACCTCATCACTATCGAGTAAAATTTTCTAGAATGTTCTTTGCTTTCTTTGGGCAGGGGAGGAGACACCACCCAGGCTTGGGTATGGAACACTTGTGATGCAGCGAGTGCCTCTGGGTGTGACCTCATTTCATCTCATTTTCCCTAATTTAAATTCAGCCACAGGCTCTTAGCAATTCCTAAGCCAAACTCATAACTACTGAGTCGATTCTGACCCTTAGAGACCCTGGAGGACAGGGTCTGAGGCCTGACCCTTAGTTACAGACCTGGCAGGACAGTGTCTGAGGTCTACCCTCCCAGACCCTGGAGGAGCAGGTCTGAGTCTGATGCTCAGAGACCCTGTGGTACCCTGTCCATCTGGCTGCTCTCGGGGTTCCAAGCCCACCACCTGATTCTAACGTTATGAATCATTAAGAGAGGAAACTGTCCCTGTCTTCTGCGGAGCTGCTGGAGGACTTGAACCATTAACCTTCCCTTTAGCATCCTGACCCATAACACACTCAAAACACACAAACAAAAAATATCAAACTCATTGCTGGGAAGATAGAAGAGACTCAGAATTGACAAAACCCCAAATGAGGGTTTCCGAGCCTGTAAACCACATCAGAAGAGACTGCTTGTCTTTGACCTTTGGAATCGCTGGTGGGTTCGAAGGTCCTGAGAGGCCTGGCCTTTGGGTCATCAGCTCAACTCCTCATGGACTTCAGCACCAGAGCTTCAAGCTAGCACTTCTTTTTGTTATTATCCTTTGGAACATGATGACCTGTGCATCAGTTTCCTCAACAACAAGTTTTATGAGCTCAGAATAGAACCAATGGCCGACCACATGTGTGTCAGTACAGAACTGGGCCCCACAAGGATCCGATGGGTCAGAAGTGGATCACCAGGCCTTTCTTCTGAGGCACTTCCAGGGGCACTGGAAACCAGCCTGTTCTCTGAACTGTGGGTCTCTAGGAAGGCTGGTCTCCATTGTGGCTCTCTGACCTGTATGTGGTGATTAATTCAGTGGGCGTAGTGGCATTTGGAGCTGGGGACTGTGTCCAGGAGCAATCTATGCTGACCGGGTACCTGGAGGCTCGACACTGCACCTGCAGGCTCGGATCTGCTGGGAGAAAGGAAGAGGCATGAGGGTGAGACAGCTGGGAACAGGCTTTCTGAAAAGCAAAGCTGAGCGTAGCAACATTCCTAGTTGCTGGAGGCTTGCTTCCACGGCTAAGTCCCTGTCATATATCACTGTCTACAGAGGAGGAAATGGAACATGGGGGCACAAGGACATGAGTATTCCTCTGAAAGAAACAGAATGAGAATAACAGTTTCTCCCAGCCCAAAGCACAAAGCAGATAAAGAACCCATAGCCAAGCCCATGGAGTCACAGCAGCAGCAAGAGGTTTGTCTATTTCTTGCTGACTCAAAGACTCACAGTTGTGGTACTGAGAACAGGGTTTATTAGGGAAGTAAGAGTATAGGAGGCAATGAATATTACACAGGGCAAGTCCAAATTTCAGCCCAAATTCCAAGGCACAAATGTGCCTTTAACTGAGGCCTTTATCTCAGGAATCCTCTGCTTAGACCTTGCCACAGTGTCTCCCAATGCAGTGCCACACTGCCTCCACCATCAGGGTCTCACTCTCACTATGGGCTTGCTCCAGGCTGCCTCAAGTCTTGCTCTGTCAAGTCTTGCTGTGCAATGTAGGATGCACTCTTTCTCTTATTCTATTCCCACAGCTGTTTGTGATTTGCAAGACCATGTGTCTGCAGTTAAGGTTCCTGGAGACCAGAGGGGACTAACTGTGATGTCTAAAAAACGTCAACTTAAAGGCTAACATTACAATCACCTATAGGGATGGAATCAGCTCTCTGAAGCCCTGGTTCAGAGCCCCCACTGGAGGGCACTAGATTCAAGTCAGCCCTGAGACTGCCCAGGGCTTTGTCTCTGAATAAGTCACCCCTTAATAGACTCCCACATCAGCGTCTCAGAGGCCCCTGCCTCTTTCCTCAGTCTCTTAGCACCTAGGGCAAATGTCAAGTTACTAGTCCATGGCTAAATACAGATTCATCCCAAGACTCTCAGAGCTGTGCTGTGAGCCCAGCCCTGCATGCTTCCAGTCAATGCCTAAAAATAGCAGATGTTGGGCAATTTCTTCACCAAAGTAAAAAGTATATACACAAACCCAAGAGCCAACATTGTTTTCAATGGAGAGAGATTAAAGGCATTCCCCTTGAGAACAGGAACTAGACAAGGATGCCCACTATCACCTCTCCTATTTAATATTGTATTGGAAGTCTTAGCAATAGCAGTAAGACAAGAGAGGGATAAAGAGTTATCCAAATTGGCAAAGAGGAAGTAAAATTATCTCTATATGCAGATGATATGATAGTATATGTGGAAAACCCTAAAGATTCAGCAAGAAAACCATTGGACATAGTTAATAAATTCAGCAAAGTGGCAGGACACAAGAACAACATACAAAAATCAATTGATTTTTCTTCAGTGACAAAGAGAATACAGAACTGGAGCTAAGAAAAACAATACCCTTCACAATAGCTAATCACAAGTTTAAATACTTGGGAGTAAATCTAACCAAACACAAAGATCTATTTAAAGAAAATTAGAAAACATTACTACAAGAAACACAAAGAAACCTGGAAAAATGGAAGAATATACCTTCCTCATGGATAGGAAGACTCAATATTGTAAAAATGATAATACTACCAAAGGCAATTTACATGTTCAATGCAATCTCAAAACAAATACTAATTCCATTCTTCAACGAGATGGAAAAAGCAATCTCCAATTTCATTTGGAACAGAAAGAGGCCTTGAATAAGCAAAGCACTCCCTAAAAAAAGAGAAGCAAGGTAGGAGGCATCTTACTCCCTGATTTCAAATTCTACTACACTGCTGTGGTGGTCAAGACAGATGGCACTGGTACAGTGACAGACACATAGATCAACTGAATAAAATTGAGAACCCAGAATTCATCCCATGTACCTATGGTCAACTGATTTTGGCAAGGAGATGAAATCAGTTAAGTGAGGAAACAACAGCCTTTTTAACAAATAGTTTTGGCAAAATTGGAAAACTATGGGCAGACAACTCAATGAAGATCCACACCTCACTCCATACACAAAAACCAACTCAAAGTGGATCAAGGATCTAAAACTAAAACCAAGGGCTATAAACTTCATTAGAGAAAAGCTTAGAAGAACTCTAGACGTCCTGATCCACAACATGAACAATCTTTCAAGAATCCTGAAAAACTTACAACAAAGAGAGGATAAAATAGATGAATGGGACCTTGTAAGAATCAAAACCCTATGCACATTCAAAAACTTCTCCAATAGGGTGAAAAGGGAAGCCACAGACTGAGGAAAAAATATTTGGCAATGTCATGTCTGATAGGGACTTATATCTAGAATTTATACTCAGGCACCACAACAAGATAAAGGTGGTGGTGGTGGTGGTGATATGTGCCATCAAGTCACTTGTGACTCATAGTGACCCTATGTATAACAGCCCTAAACCCTGCTCTATCCTTTGTCAATATCATTGTCTCCAACATGCCTATCCCCATTACCCCAGTGACGAAATCAATCCATCTCATCGAGGGTCTTCTTCTCCTAGGCTGTCCCTCCACCCTCCCAAGCATGACGTCCCTCTCCAAGGACTGGTCCCTCCTTGCAATACGTCCAAAGTATGTCAGACAAAGCTTCAGAATCCTTGCCTCCAAGAACAGCCTGGCTTCACCCTCACCAGGACGAACTTATTTGGTCTCCCAGCAGTCCATGGTATATTCACTACTCTTCTCCAGCACCAAAGCTCAAAGGCATCAACTCTCCTTTTATCATCTCTAGTCCATTGTCCACCTCTCTGAAGCATAGCAAGTAATGGCAAAGACCATGACCTGTATAAGGCACACCTTAGTCTCCAGACACATTGTTGCTCCTCAGTACCTTGGAGAGGTCTCTGACAGCAGACTTTCCTAATGTGATGCGTCTTTTAATTTCCTGGCTGCTGGTACCAAGAGTGTTGATTGTAGAGCCAAGCAAACTAAAATTGTCAACCATCTCAATCTCTTCATGGACACAGGATATAAACAGACACTTCAGCAAAGAAGACATTCAGATGGAGAACAAACACATGAAGAAGTGTTCAAAATCCCTGGCTTTAAGAAAGATGCAAGTCAAAACAACTATGAGATATAATCTTACCCCAGTAAGAATAGCAAAATTTAACAGAAGAACAAACATCAAATGCTGGCGAGATTGTGGAGAAACTGGCACCCTTATTCACTGTTGGTAGGAGTGTAAAATGGTATAACCACTACGGAAGGCAGTATGGCGCTTTCTCAAAAACTTGCAAATAGAAATACCATTTGACCCAGCAATTCCACTACTGAGAAGATGCCCCAAAGAAACCAGAACTGTTACCCAAGCAGATGTATGCACATCCATGTTTATCATAGCTTTGTTCAGCAAAGAGTTGGAAACAACCCAAGTGTCCATCAACAAACGAATGGATAGAGAAGCTGTAGTATATTCACACAATGGAATATTACGCTGAATTGAAAAACAAGGATCTCATGAACTATTATACCAAATGGGTGACCCTGGAGGACATTATGCTGAGTAAAATATCTCAGTCACAAAAGGACAAATACTGCATAATGGCATGGTTGTAAAAAGGGACTGACATCAGGGTAGAGGGGAACCTAAGAAAAGAGGGGATAAATAATGTACACTGCATTGAAACAGATGAGGGTGAGAACTGTTAAAAAGGAATATATGGTTAGGTATTATACTCATGATAAGATTCCAGAAAAAGAAATGCATAGTGAAGTGGACTATGGACTTGAGACAGGGGATCAGGGGGTGTATAACAATGAAAGAATAATTTTTTTCTTTTCAAAGAGAAAAGCAAACTTGGGGGAGGGGTGTGCAGGGAGGAAAATGTGCAACAATGAATGAATGAGAACAAAAATTAAAAGGGGAGCTCTGGTGGCCTAGTGGCAAGAAGCCACACTGCAATCCCAGAGGTATGTGGTTCGAATCCACCAGATGCTCTGCTGGAGAAGGAGGGACAATCTTCTTCTGTACCAGTCAGATTCAATTTGATGGTACAAACACAAAAAATAATAAAAGTAAAATTTTAAAAAAAAATTAAAAGGGAATAACATGCTGTAAAAAAAGTTAATTTAAAAAAGAAATAAAACAGCAGGTGTCTAATCAACATAGTGAAGAGATAGACTCACCCATACAATCATTTATCTGTAGGAGCTGTGCTGCCAACCCAAAGGTGCACGGTTTGAGGCCACCAGCTGCCCTGTGACTGAAAGATGGGCAATTGCTTCCTGTGTAATTTACAGTCTCTGAAAAGCCACTAGAAGATCAGCTATGGGTTAGTTCTAACTCTGCAGTGCATAGTAACATACAAGCTAGAGCAAGGCTCAGATCTGTTGTTCTTGGTGTCACTATGAATCATACTCGATTGGACTACACCTAGCAAAAACAGTATTTCAGATGTGACAGCCAGGCCTTTCCACCTAGTCTGTCTTGATCTGGAAGCTGCTGAAACCTGTCCACCATGGGTGACCCCCTGGTATTTGTGTCAGTGGCACAGATTCCAGCATCACGGAAACACACAAGCCACCACAGCAGGACACACTGACAGCCTAGCCTGGTGGTGGACGTGAGGATGGAGCATAACGGGAAGGGCGTTGTTCTGCTGTGAACAGGGTCACTATGAGTCAGTACCACCTTGCCAGCAACAGGACACCGACTATCACTCAGCCTACCATCTCCAGGCCCTCGAGGCCCTCCTGATTCATAACCACCCTCTTCTGCCTTTCTGAGGTTGTAAATCTTTCTGGGAAGACACTGCCCATATTTCACCTGAGGAGCAGCTGGTGGATCAGAACTGCTGGTCTCAGGAATACAACTGGTGAAACAATCATGCCATCAGAGCCCCTACATTCCACCAAGGCAGGAGTCATCAGCCCATTTTTCAAATGGCCAAACTGAGGTTCAAGGAGCCACAGAGGGAAAGAGGGTGGCAGGAACTCAGTTGGGACACAGGTGGGTGTATCTTGATCTTCTCTGTTTTGTGCTGAAGCACATGATCGGGTTTCTATTTTAAAGACGACTGAGTCAGGGTGCCCTGGCTGGGAATTGAACTGGGTCTTAGAATTCATTGCCCCCGCTGTGCTATCATTATCGCGTTGTCAAATCAGAACTGACTCACACCTGACTCTCCAGTGGGTTTTCAGAGGCAGGAAATTGCACTGGAGTTCACTGTCCATCTTCTCTGGCAGAGCAGCTGTTGGGTTTGAACTGTGTGCCTTTGGGTTGGCACTGCAGCTTCTTACCACGGCCACAGTGATCCCCTGTGGCAGATGGGAACCCCATCACAGATGTTCCTAGAGTGAGGAGGACAGCCCAGGCCAGGCCTGGGTTCAGGGTTCACAGGGTCACTGTGAGTCAGACTTGCCTCGTGGGCACCACTGTGGTAGCAGATGGGCAGCTCTTTCTCCCACGGGGCCACACTGGATGATTCATTTCCCATCTTTTGCTCGGCGGGAGAGCACATCACCTGGGCACCACCCCCAGGGGTCCTGCCCCCTCTGTATTTGTACCCACGTCTATATCTGTGGTGACAGCCTGAGGCTATTGGTGTTAACGGGGAGGAAACAGCCTCATTTCCCTACCGAGCAGCTGGTGCAGTGGAACTGTCAGCTTCAGGTCAGCAGTCCGGTCTCCTTATCCCGTATTTCACCTGCTTCTCTGGTGTCCTACATATCTGTGTCTGTCATGGCCCCATCTATGCCTTTTCCCATCTATATGGTGACAGTGACCATCGCCCAATAGACACACATTCTGTGAGTGATTCCACCCCCGTCCCACACCATATGTCCAGACCTCACTAGGGGTCAAAGTCAAGCTCCCAGGTCAAGCCCTCCCTGGGGGAGCCCTTTCCCTCCCACTACCGGGCCCTTTGCACCTTCACTTCCACCGCAAGACATGCAGCTGGCCCAGAGGGTCAAGGTCAGGAGTAGCTTGGGGACCATGCTGGCGCCTCCTGGGACTGAGAAGGGCACACTGGAGACTCGCTGGTCAGGATTCTCTCTGACGCAGGCACGGCCAGATACCACAGAGCACTCCGCTGGGAACAGACTTCCTCTAAATAGGGCTGAGGGTCCAGCAGCCAGAGTTCCAGCCCCTCCCTGGGGCTCAGTGGTTGGGCGGGGAAGGGCGGGAATGTCCAGGGGGGTGGGGCAGGCCAGGAAGGGAGAAGTGGGGACCCCAGGCATGTGTTTCCCAGCAAGGCCGGTCCTTCCGTCCTGCCTTCTGGAGGGGAAACCCCGGGGAGGGGAAGGGAAAGTCAGGAGAGACAGAGATGAGGGGGAGGAGAGAGACAGAGCTACAGAGACAGCTATGTGATTGCTGTTGTTATGTGCCTTAGAGTGAGCTCCAATTCATAACAGCCTGTGAATAATAGATCTGAACGCTGTCCTGCCCTTTCTCATCATCCTCCACACAGGAGCCCATTGCTGCAGATACTGTATCAGTCCATCCCATTGGCTTCCTCTCTTTTGCTCACCCTCTGCCTTTCCAAGCATGATGTCCCTTTCCAAGAAATAGCCTGTTCTTACCAAGTGTCCAAAATAAGTGCAAAGAAGCATCACCATCTCTGCCTGCAAAGACCACTCAGGCTGCCCCTTCTCCAAGACCTACCTGTTTGTTCTTTAACAGTCCATCCAGCACCACCAGCCAATTGCACCAATTCTCCTTTCGTCTTTATTCCTTGTTCTCAGCTGCATCGCAGGTGATTGAGATAACTGTGGCCTGGGTCAGATGCATCTTAGTCTTTAAACTGCCATCATTGCTCTTCAGGACTTTGAAAAGGTCCCTGACAGCAGACATTCTCAATGCTCTACATCTCCCAACCTCCTGAATACTGATTCCAAGGGTGTTAACTGTGGATCCAAGGAAGATGAAATAGTTGACAGTTTCAATCTTTTCTCCATCCATCATGAGGTTGCCTATTGGTCCATTCAGTAGTGAGGATCTTTGTTTTCTTAAGGTTGAGATGTAATCCATACTGAAGGCTGCAGTCGCTGATCTTCTGCAGCAAGTGCTTCAAGTCCTTCTCAGGATGACCCACAGAGCCACCTCTCAGTGAGACATGGCCACTGAGTGGGACACAGACACGAGCCCCAAACCCACTGACTCTGACTCACAGAGACCCATGGGGTTCTGCGGCTTTAACCTCTCTGCTAAGAAGAGACTGCCCAACAGTCAGTTAAGGAGCACCGAGTAGATTCAAACCCCTGACCTTTGGGTTGGCAGCCCTCATGTGAGGCACTTTGCCACCAGGGATTCTTCTAGGGACCCGCGAGTTATTCACCCATGGAATTTCCTTTAAGGACGCAGACCCACCACTTACCAACCATGGCCCAGCTCCAAACTATCATGAGAAACTTCAAGGCTGGGGGGCAGCCCCTACCCTTTGGGATTCTCCCAGGATGGAGATGCCAAGGACATAGTGCAGAGCCTGCCCTGACCACCCGAGAAACCCCCAGTGAGAAACTGGACACACATGGATTCCTACTCACAGCCCTGCCTCCCACCCCCTCAGCTGGAAAGATCCCAGAACCCCCAGGGGCTTTCAGAGGTGGCAGTTGGCAGGTCAGGTAGGCTGAGGGGGAAGCTGCAGCTAGGACTGTGTGGGTTGAATGATCACAGGGCACACAAGTGCATGATGGGAGCCTGTGTCAGGACCCCAAGGCTGCTGTAACAGACAGGCCATGCATGGAAGGCCAGAACACACAGGAGTTTAATCTCTTGCTGCCCGGAGGCCAAAAGTCAGGATTCAGATCTAGGGGAGGGTGTCTGCTCTCAGCATCTGTGAGCATCCCTGGGAGATTTCCACATGTCTGACATCACTCCTTTCCTGGATCTAGAGGTTCCCTTTGCAGGACCTGTGTGCAGAGGCTCCCCTCCTGACCTTTCCTCCTTGATGGTACAGGTGCCCCCTCTCTGCATGATTCTCTATAATCTCAGGCCACATCCCAGGGAAGCCCCTGCCATCAGCCCAGGGGAGTGTGGGATTAAGGATGTTCCACCCCACCCTCAACCCTTTCATACCTGATTAACCTCATTGTGGTGACCATTACATAACAGCCGAACCACCAAGACTCCTTACTCAGACAGCTGACACATATTTCCAGGGACACAATCAATCCATGACACTATCTTTCTGGAAAACGCTGATATTTTATTTGTCATGGCTTTTTTGTTCTCCCACTTTCATCGTGATTTTTTTAACAAAATGCCAGGCAATATGCTTTATCAGCATGACCGAGTTTTAAGTGCCCTTTAAATCTTTGCACGCTGTTTTGTGTTCTCTCAGAGGTGCCTCAGAAGACAGGCCTGGCAATCCACTTCTGAAAGCTCTGAGCCACTGAAAACCCCACGGAGCACAGTTCCGCTCTCACACACATGGAGGCGCCGTTGGCTCAACGGCAGTTGGTGCACAGCTCAGGTCACTGCTGACCCAGCTGGACGCAGCATACTGGGCTCTCTGCATGGTGCCCACAGAAGGACAGAGTTTTAACTGGACACCCCACGCACACCCTGCACTGCTGCCAGCCAAACAAGCAACCATTCAAGTGTGCTCAAGTGCCTTGGAAGTAAGGCCTGGCAACCTACTACCACAAGAACCATCCACTGAAAACACTACGGTGCCCAGTTCTACTCTGATGCACACAGAGGCACTGTGAGTTGCAGCAACTGGTTTAGTCTCGGTTTTTTACAAATTCATACTCCGTCGCCTCACGTCACCTCAGACCTTGCCTTGCATGCACACCCTCCCCCTTGCCCACAGAGGGTACCCAGCAGGTGGGCCACATGCTTTGCTTTCAGGCTGTGGGCACAGCGATGTTTAGTCCTGGGTTGACTTTGGTGACAGGTGGAGGAGAAGGGGAGGTGCTCACAGACTCTCCGGTCAGTTAGGGGCCAGGTGGAGGTGCAGTCAGGTTAAGATGGCCAGGAAGGGGCTCCACAGTCCCCCTAGCCTGGTCCCAGGTGTGAATGGGCAGTGCACAGCCCTGGGGCCTGAGTGGAGCTGATCTGCGTAGGGCTCAGATGGGCAGAGACACAGGGAGAAGGTGTTGGCGCAGAGGCCCCCGAGGAGGGGCTCCCATGCACCGTCTTCAGCGACCCTGGGCTTGGAGCCTCTGCATTTGCAGAATCTGGCTGAGGATTCGCTGCACGTCTTCGTCCATCTGGCCCTGGAGAAATGGGGAACAGAGGGCTTGGGGGTCCTGCCCTGGACCACCCCATTCTTCTCCTTCCTCAGCCTTGATCCAGCCAGCTCACACAGGTAATGAACCCAGAAAAGTTTCAACAGGCTGAGAAACTCTCCCAGGATCAAGCGGACCCAAACCAGACGGGCACCACGTCAGGGGCCAGGTAGTAAAATCACCTCCGTGAGACTCACCTGGATAGCGTAGAGCAGGTGACTCCGGTACAAGGCCACCACGGCACTGTGCTCCCTGGCAGCCTCCTGTGGGAAGGATAGGAGTGCTCAGGAGTGCTGACACCCCCAAGACGTTCCCAAACACCCTTGTGCACTCAGACCTCACATTTGCTGGTACACATCAGTGCAGTGGTATTGCTGCCTGTTGCTGAAATATGGAAATATTTCTGCCCTGGCCTGAGATGTGTGCCCGGCTCCCTCCTGGACCCCATGCTGGACTGGGTCATGGGGAGTGTTCTGGCCACTGGACCCCACTCCTGGCTGTACCCCAGCCCCACCCAAGGCAGCCCTCACCTCCAGCTGCTGCTGCAGCGCCTTCACTTGTTCTCTCAGAGCCTCCACCTCAGGGGTGGCCGGAGTGGCTGGCTGGTCCTTCAAGGCTTCCTTAAGGCTGAACACCTCCTTGGACAGCTCGGTGATCTGTGGGAGAGGGGCAGGGAGGGGCCTCAGTGGCTCCTGGGCCCAGGTATGGGGAGGATCTGCTATTGACAGACACAGTTTCATTTCAGTGTGTGCTTTCAGCCGCCTGGGAAGAAAGGAACTGATTCCATTTCACAGATGAACAAACTGAGACTCAGGGAGGTTAAGTCATTTTCTGGAGATGTCTGACCCCAGCCCAAGTGTTCAACAGCAGATATTCAGTAAAGGCTTGTTATTATCACTAATACAAAGGCCAGACTTTGAGCTGCTAATGGAAAGGTTAACAGTTCGAAACTACCAGTACCTCCACAGAGGTAGTGAAGGGGGGAAGGAGGTTATCTGTCTCCCTCTGGGAACGATATGAAGCAGTTCTATTCTGTCCTGTGGGTCCCTGTGTATCCAAATTGCCCTCATTTGCACAGGAGATCTGAGATTCTCAAGCAGAAGCAAGTCTGACCCTCAGGGAACACTGGTCAATGTTGGCCAATGGTATTGATCACTGGAGTTGTTATTACTGCCATCAAGTGGGTGAAAGGCAAGGACGTCCATCAGCACCCTACAGTGCACAGGGCACCCCACCCCAGAGGGGGGTCCAGCCCCACATGTCACAGGACTGAGACTGAGAACCTCTGCTCTCCATCAACTATGGGACACTTTTAATGCCACTTCACAGAAGAGGAGACAGGCCCAGAGGTGAGATGCTCACCCAATGTCACACAGTTAGGCAGGGCTGGGCGCCTTGGCCATAATGTCCCCCCACCGTCCAGTGGATGCTGTGGGGCCCTCTCCCCTCTGAGAGCCTTGTGGGTTGTGGGAAGATTAAAGGGACGGTGTGCAGGGAATGTCTGGCCCAACAGAGGCTGTTGTCACCACCATTGTCATGGAAAATGGTCCCAGAAGTCATGGCCAAGTGGCTGCCCCTCTCTGTCTTCAATTTCCTCAAATCAGGACAACAAAAGGACCTCTCTTATGGGAACCCAAGGATTCATGAGCGAACCTAAAAAATCAGCCACTGAAAATCCCCACAGATCACCTCTACTCTGACACACGGGGTCGCCATGACGCTGGAGTTGACTTTGTGACAGTCACCGATTTTAAATAAAGTTGTATTGGCACAAACCATGGCCTTTCATGATCAGGCTCATGTCTTCACGTGTCAGGGTGGTTTTGAGTGCACGGCACATGGTCCGGCTTGCAATCGGCTCTCAGTAAATGTCACTGTGGTTACACTGAGCAGTCAGAACAGTGACTTGTGTGTCAGACTTGCTCAGTGGCTGCAGCTGAGTCTCCTCCCTTCTTAGTAACCTCAGTCTCCCATCTGTAGAATGGGTTGATTTCCCAAGTCCTTTTTAGATGGGATATTCTTAGAGGCTCCCATCCCAATTTAGCAGGGTCCTCCATCTGGAGCGCAAGAGAGGGGCCACCTACCTTCTTGTCCTTCTCCTTGGCCTTGTCCAGGGCCTCTTGGGCACGGCTCTGGGCCTGGCGTGCCCTCTCGGCCTCGGTTCGAAGCCCCCTCAGCTGCTGCTCCGCTGTGGCCAGCTGGGCCTCGGCCGCATGCCGCTCACTCTTCATGAACAGCGCCTCCCGCTGCACCTGCAGCTCAAATCACACGCAACTCAGGACACCTGGGCTCCAAGGACGTCTGGATCCTAAAGATGACTGAACCATCAGGTTGTCCAGACTCCAAAGATGTTCCTCTATTTTGGCCCAAAAGTGTGAAAGTCCCACTGTTTGAACCCCAAGACCTGACAGAGCCTGACTGTGAAAGTCCTGAATTCCTCTTGATATTTCAAACATCAGACCCTGCAAACTGTGAGGTCTAGGACAAGTGACTTAACCTCCTCGGCCTCAGTTTCTTTATCTATAAAATGGGACAACTAATGGTCCCACCTCCCCACTTCATAGGTGGTTATGAGCACAGAGCGAGCGAGCTCTCAGAAGTCACACAGGATGGTGCCGGGTGCCTCATCAGAGCCACATTCAGGCTGGTGACAGTGACACTGGGCCACTCATCCTGGCGGCCTGATGGCATTTCCCCTGTTACTGGTGTGAGAGTTTGTGAATCGCTTACAAAATGAAAGGAGCAGAGACAAAAAGCAGAATGTAAGAAAGGTTGTCATTTGCATTTTCACCAGCTGAAGTGAATCTGGAAAATGATGGCTGCATTTTCACGAAATATCAAGACTGGAGCAACAGTAAGTCTACAACATCTGATCCTGGAGGAAACTGGCTCCAGGGCAGTCAGAAGGCTGGGGCTTCCAGCTGGTGTGGACAAACCCCACACACACAGGCGCCCACCATGCTGACCAAGGGACAGTGACCCTGCGGGACAGAGCATGGCCCACAGGGGTTCGCAGCCTCTTGCCTGTGCAAGCCAACTGCCATGGCCTCCCACGGAGCAACTGGTGGGTCTGAACCACTGACTTTTCAGTTAACCGTTCAATGCTGAACCGCTGTGCTCCACAATAGCAAAGCAACCTACACCCGTCCAGCCAGTTCTAGGTCATCACGACGTGCTGGACAGAGAAGCGATTCTGCACAGGCCTCCCAGGCTGCAGCCTTGAACCAGCGGACTCCACAGGATCACTGCTCGCTTCCAACTGACAATCTTCCCACTAACAGGAAGGTGTCTAACCACTGCACCACTAGGGCTCCTTGCAGGAATCATTAAAAAATAAACATCTAATCTGATTTTTTTAAAAATGCTAAACTGATTACCCAATCAAGTCAGACTTAAAAAATTTGCCCCCAAAAGAAGCTATGTCAAGGAAGGTAAGTCTAGGAAAATAAAATGAAGACAGGTTTTAGATGGCAAGCTCTGGGAACGAGGCAAGAGTTTAATTAGTAAAAAGAGGTGCTCCTGGGGAATCAGTCAACGTGACTAGCATTTATCGAGCACTTATGGTGTACCAAGGAAGCTATGGTGACACTGTGGAGAAGGAACTGCACTGTAAACCTAAAGGCAGGCAGTTCAAATCCACCAGCCGCCCCACAGGAGACTGTGAGCCACCTCCTCCTCGGTGATTACAGCCTCTGCTAACACACTGGAGAGTCAGCTGTGATAAAAACAAGGTAAGATTTTTAGCTGATCTTTCTGTATCAGGGAGGTATGGTGGCTTAGTGCGTAAGGAGTTACACTGTTAACCCTAAAAGCAGGCAGTTCAAATCCACCAGCTGCTCTGTGGGATAAAGGCAATTTTCAGCCTGAGATGGACGATTTATGACCTCTGAAGCTCTCCCACGGTCAGTTCTTACTGGACAGTGCAGACAACAACAATGCCACACCAGGCACAGTCCCAAATGCTTCTGGTAAGCAGCCCCTTTAATGCTTGTGAGAGAACTGAGGACCACTGACCTCCACGGGGTGTGTGTCGTCAAGCTGACCCCCAGCAGCTCCACGTGACAGGACAGAACTGCCCCAAACGGCTGTCGAGACTGTAGTCACTACCAGAACAGACCGCTCGGACTGTCCATTCAGAGCTGCTCAGTGGCTTTGAACTGCCAGCCTTATGGTCAGCAGAGAGTTGCTCACCCATTGCACACCAGGCTCCACATCCCTGTTGTTGGCACACGGGAATGGAGACAACAGAGAAAACGCTTTCCTGACAAGAGCTAGTGAATGCCCACGGATGAAAAGAAATGCCAGTGGTTTCAATTCGATTTGTTTGTTTGTTTGTGTGTTTGTTTGTTTTAAGAAATAATTTAAAAATACAAGTTTACTGTCAGGGCCAAAAAGTACTTCCTGGGCTAAAAGAGAAAATAAATGAGCGTCTGAATTCTCCAGGGAAGAATAATGAGATGACAGCTGCTTAGTGTCAGTGTACCTCTTTCTGAATGTTTGGAGAATTAAAAATGACCAGATCATTAGAACAAGGGCAAAACAGCTGGCCGGGAGCAATCACCAGGTGGAAGTGACCAACAGACACAATAGCCAGTGAGCAAAATAGCAGAGCCCGAAACCAGACCATGACCCGTCCTGTCACAGCGCCCAGAGACCTGATGGAAGAGGACAGACGGTATGTTCTCAGCGGTAGGCACGTAAGATGCTGTACAGAGACCAGAAAAAGGAATCACAAAAAACAGCAGACTCTGAGTAGCCGGTAGGTAAACAAGGAAACCCTGCTGGTTCAAACACGCAGGTGGTCAGCCTGGCTCAGCGTCAGCTGTCTGTGAGTGGCCTCAGCAGTCATCCCTGGGCCTGTCGGAGGCCGTCGTGCTTACCTGGAAGACCTCGGCGCTGGTCTTCTCATGGCGCCGTCCCAGCTCCTCCAGCTGCCCCTCCAGCCGGGCCACATCGGCCTGCAGCGCGCCCACCACCCGCTCGTGCTCCGAGCGCGCCACGCTGCCCACGCGCTCCCGCTCCAGCTCCGCGCGTAGCCGGGCCGCCTCCTTGCCCGTGGCCACCACCTCCTGCTCCAGGCTGGCCGCCCGGCCCCGCAACTCCAGGGCCTCCTCCTGCAGGCGGTGATGCTCGGCCGCTGGCACCGAGGACTGTCGGAGGGCCTCCGAGGCCTCGCGCAGCTCCGCCAGGCTCCGCCGGGCCTCCTCGCAGGCTGCGCCCAGCTCAGCCGCCTGCGCCTCGGCCACGTCCCGGGCCTGGCCCAGCTGGGCGGCCGCTGCCCGCTGCTGCTCCTCGGAGGCCGTGGCGGCGGCCAGTTGCTCCCGCAGCACCTGCAGCTCCCGGCTCTGCTCCAGCCGCACCTCGTCCTTCTGGGCCAGCTCTGCGCGCAGACCCCGGGCCTCCTCCTCGGCCAGCAGCAGGCCGGCCCGGGACTCGTCCAGGGAGGAGACGGCCGCCTCCAGCTCCCGGAGGCGCGCGTCCCGGCCCCGGAGGTCCTCTCGGGCCTGCTCCAGGGCGGCTCGCAGCTGCGCCACGTTGCCCCCGCAGCCGTCGCCGGCCCCACCGCTCTCGGCCTCGCGCACCCGCTCGCGCAGCCGGCCAGCCTCGGCCTCGGCGGCCTCGCACTTGCCGCGGGCGGCCTCCAGCTCCGCAGCCGCCTCGCGCTCCCGCTGCCGGAGCGCCTCCTCCAGGCCACGGATCCTGGTCTCTAGCTCTGCCTGCAGCTTCTCTGAGGCCTCCGCGGCACCGGGATGGAGGAGGGGACCCGCGGACAGTGTCGTGGTCTCAACCGCTGTGGCCTTCCCGTCTGTGTTCTGTGGGCCTGTGAGCTCTGCCTCTGTGGCCCCCACTCCATTTTCTGTCATCTCTGGTGCCACCTTCGTGGTCTCCTTCACCGTGGCACCTGTTCCTGTGGCCTCCACCCCCGTGGCCTTTCTCTCAATGGTCTCTGGCTCCTTTGGTGCCTTCACTTCAGTGACTTCAGTCCCCATGGCCACTGTTGTTTCCTCAGCTGCAGATCCTGAGTCCTCTGTTTCTGTGGTCTTGGCCTCAGTGGCCTCCACCCCTGTGGATGCTGGTTCCAAAGTCCCAACCTCGATGGTCCTGTCTCCTCCAGTCTCCTCATCTGTGTTCTCAGCTCCATTCACTTTGGATTCCAGGCCGTTCAGCTCTGTGCCGGCCAGCCCGTTCATGGTATTCCTGGTTGCTTGGCCCTTGCCTGTCCCTGCCACTGCCTCCTCCTCTCTGAGGGCCTCCTGGATGTCCCGTTGCCCCAGCGCCCGCAAGGCCTCGGCGTGCTGCCTGTGGAGCTGGTCAAACTCAGCGCGCAGAGCGTCATAGACAGCCAGAGGGATGACCTCGGCCAAGCTGCTGGCCTCCTCCTCGTCCTTCTCGAAGTTCTCCAGGATCTAAACAGAGGGTAGTCAGGCAGCAGGTGACTGGCCATGGGGACGTAAGATGGGCTGTCCACACGAGCCTGCAGACTCAGCCCCAGGCCCACCCCGAGCCCAGCACCCCCAGGCTTCTGTCTCCCCACCTGCACTTTCTCCATCAGCTCCTGGTTCTGTTTGGTCAGCGTGGCCACCTGGTCCTGCAGCGACGCCAAGAGCTCCTGGACTGACGGGCTCACTTGTTTGGAGAGCAGTGCCTCGGCCCCTGGGGAACACAGACTCAGGCCGCAGGGGAACAGGCTGGGGTGATGGAGTGAACCACCCAGGCCCTGCACACCTCCCCCACAGCTCCAAATGCTGCCCCACGTGTGGTACACATCCCAGGACCCAGAACAAGGGCAGGCAGGAGGAGGGAGTGGGGGTGGGGGAGGCTCACCTGGGAAGTCAGGCAGCTCCCCCTCTTCATCCTGCAGTGTGGCCACGTCATAGCTGGTGTTCTCACGCTCGTTCTGGGGTGGTGACAGAGACCAACTCGGCTCTGTCCCCTGACTTGTGTGCTTCAAGAAGGGCCCATATGTGTGTAGTAAATGTATTTGTGGGTGTGTGGTGTGTGCAGTGGGTAAGGACTCAGCCGCTGACCGAGCGCCCTGTGATTTGAACCCACTGGCTGCTCCTTGGGAGGATGTGGTCATCTGGAGCTCTGGAACCCTCTGGCCAGTCCTCTGTCCCACACGGTCACGATAGGGGATCTACTTGCTGCCAGGGAGTGGTTTGGTTTGGGGTTGTCTGTGCGTGTGTGTCTGAGTGGCAGTTAGAGCAGGACAGTGCTGCCTGTCTGCTGCCCGCCTTGCTTGGTCCACAAGCCCGTGTGCCGCTCGGCCCGCCTGGCCCCCAGCCCCAAGTCCCTGTCCCTGGTCCCCCGCCACACCTCCAGCAGGGACAGTCGGCTCTGCAGACTCTCCACCTCACGCCCCAGGCTCTCCTTCTCCTCCTGCTTCTCCACCAGCAGCTGCTGCAGCTCCTGCACCTGGGCAGGGGGAGGGTGATGGACACTCAGCTGGCCCTGCGAACCCCACAAGGAGGCGACACTGGGACTACTCCCCCACCTCCCACCTACCTGTCTCTCCAGGCTGTGCAGGGAGCTGGCCTCTGGCTCCTGTGATTGAAAGACGGGGAGGAGGTGGGATTCTGAGCTTGGCTCCTGCCCATCCACCTTCTGCTTCCATATCCAACATGCCCACCGAGCACCTACTGAATACTCACCCATCTACATGTCCCCCGAGCACCTACTGTATACTCGCCCATCCTCAATACACCTACCAAGTACCTACTGTATACTCACCAACCTCAACACACCCACTGAACACCTACCGAATATACTGAATACTCACCCATCCACATGTCCCCCGAGCACCTACTGTATACTCGCCCATCCTCAAGACACCTATCGAGCACCTACTGTATACTCACCAACCTCAACACACCCACTGAACATCTACTGTATACTCACCCATCCACATGTCCCCTGAGCACCTACTATATACTCGTCCATCCTCAATACACCTATCAAGCACCTACTGTATACTCACCAACCTCAACATACACCCTGAGCACCTACTGTATACTCACACATCCTTAACACACCCAGTGAGCACCTACTGTATACTCACACATCCTCATGTCCCCCGGAGTGCCTTCTGTATACTCACCCATCCTCAATACACCAACCGAGCACCTCCTGTATACTCACACATCTTCAACGCACCTACTGAACACCTACTGTATATTCACCCATCCTCAACATGCCCACTGGGCACCTACTGTATACTCACCCACCCACATGTCCCCACTGAGCACCTACAATATACTCACCCATCCTCATGTCTCCATGGAGCACCTCCTGTATATTCACCCATCCTCAACATGTCCACTGGGCACCTACTGTATATTCACCCATCTTCATGTCTCCATGGAGCACCTACTGTATACTCATCCATCCTCAACAGACCCACTGAGCACCTACTGTATACTCACCCATCCTCATGTCCCCCAGAGCGCCCACTGTATACTCACCCATCCTCAACACGTGTGCCAAGCACCTACTATATACTCATCTCATGTCTCACACCCGTCCAGTCCCATGTGCCCATTCTGAGCACCTACTGCATACTCCTCCTAATGTGCTCACCAAGCACTTACTGTATACTCACCCACCCTCAATAGGTCCACTGAGCACCCACTGCACGCCAGCACTGCTCCACGACTCACTCAGACCATAGAAATATTGAGCATCTGCTGTGTGCAGGGGCCATTCCGCCTACACACTTGCTCCTCGTTGCTCACCGAGCCCTCACTCCATGCTAGACGCCTTCTACACACACTTATCGTAAGTACTTACTGGAGTCTGCTGTGTGCCACACTGCTCTGCCCTTGTACTCAGTCCCTGGTGTTTACTGAGTGCTACTGTGTGTCAGCCACTACTGGCTCACACTTTCATGAACCAGAAAAGCTGAGACAAGGGCATGGGTGAAACAAACGGGACTCTGAAGTGAGGGAGTTGCAATTTAACATAAAGTGGGATGTGTATGGCTTTCTGAGCCAAGTCCCTAAGGAGGGGAGGGAGGGGCCACGCAGGGGTCTGGGGAAGAGCAGAGCAGACAGAACACTCTGTCAAAGGCCCTGAGGCAGGACCAGGCCCAGAGGGACAGCAAGAGGCCAGCATGGCTGAGCAAGGAGTAGGGGTGCTAGGAATGGTGGGGGTCTTCCCCTAGAACAGCGCACACCCAGGCTGGGCCCGGGCCGCCCCTCACCTCCAGCTTCCTCCGCTCCTGGTGCTGCTCCAGGCCCCGGATCTTCTGAAGCAGACGGCCTCGCTCCTGCCGCAGGCGCACGATCTCCTCATAGGCCTCTCGGTCATCCTGTCCCCCACCAGAGACCATCTCGTTTAAATGAGGCCAGAGGCCTGTCCTGCCCACACTGGAGCCAGAGTTCCCTCTGACCCCTTCCTGGGTGTTCCCCCTCTCAGGGTCTCTCACCGGCATAGGGATGCTGGCAGGGGGCTGGGGTGCCTTCCGCTTCTTGGAAGTTCCTGGCTTTTCACGGCTGGACACAGAATTCTGATGGGGTGGGGGGACACATGGGGGACCTGCCAACCTCCCACCATATAGACCAACCAGCCAGCCCATCCCCACACTGGCTTCCTGTGCAGCTTAAGTGAATCCTTTCCTCCCCCAGCCTCTCCTGCATAGATGGGCACGTGACAATGCCCTAGCGCTTCCAGATCTCTCTCCCCTCTGCCCTTCTTTGCACCTCAGCATCATCCCTAGTGGGACCTAACTGTCCACATGTTCCTTTTCCTGTAAACCGAGGTGTTGCAGAGCTGAGACAAGCACAGAGGCCAGGCATGCCTCCTCCAGAAAGCCTTCCTTGATCGCTTCAGCCCTGTCCTGAAGATGATTAGCCGAGTCACAAACTGTCCTATCATGCAGCAAATAGGAGGTACCACTTCCCTCCATCACTGAGCCCAGCCTCAGATCCAGCACCATCTCCCGGGATTCTCACCCAGCTGTGGGAGTGTCGCTGTGGACGCTGCTGCCACCTGGTGGCCGTGTATCCTGAAGGTTGATGTTCTACGCTATACAGTGCCCTATGTACAACAGCTCTGAGCTCTATCTTGAGCCAACTTCATTGCCAACTTCATTGTCTCTGACACACTTACACACACACACACACACCACACACATACACAGAGTCACTACACTTACACACACACACACAGAGTCACTGAGTTTCCATATTAGAGGTCTCAGCCTCAGTTGCTATATCTGCTAGTCTACTCTAAGTGTGTTCTATTGTACGTAGGGTTTTTGAAGGCCTGTTATTTCAAAAGTGGAAGGCCAATCCTTCCCAGTCTGTCTTAATTTGAATGCGCAGCTTTAGAAGAGTATCTGAAGGACAAGCATTTTACAGAAAGGGATAGATGAAGGCAGCATTCTTTCCAAACCAGACTTTCCAGGTATGACAGCCCTGGGTGGGGCAGGGATTCCTCTTTTCCCACAAAGCTTGGGGGGTGGGGGGGGGAGAGAGAGAGAGGGTGTGTGTGTGTGTGTGTGTGTGTGGTGTGTGTGCAGGGTGTGGTGTGCACAGAAAGACTTGTTAACTGCTTAGGGCTCCATACCTGAGATGAGGCCTCGCCTGAGTCATCCTCTGGGAGGGAGGGGAAAGAAGGAAGCAGGTCAGGCCCTCTGCTCTGTGGAACCCATTCCCAGCCCCAGGGAGGGCTTTAGTGAACCCCTGGGACTTGGGGGGGACTCTCAGTTTCCCACCTAAGAGGACTTTAAAGCCAGGAATCCACCATGTAGGCAGGATACTGTGAAGAGCGACCTTGAGCTCTCAAAAGGGAGAGGACCAGGGTGGTGGGGCACCGATACTTAGGAAAAGGAAGGAGTCAGGGAAAGGATGAACCTTCACAACACGGTGGACTTTATGTTACCCTAAATGTTCTAGGGTTCCTTGAAACTACTCTGAATATGATGAGGGGAGCCATGAAACCTCCTATAATGCAGCAAATTGGAGGTACCTTGAAACTCCTTACAACTGGGAGAAAGGAGGGGATTGGGTGCTTGAAACCACCCAGGGGCGGAGCCTGCGTACCGCTGGGGGGTGAGGGCCTCGGGGCCGCCTCCTGCAGGAGCTGTAGGATGAGTTTGTCCCCCGCGAGGGCGCCATAGTGCGAGGCGTCCTGGCCGAGGGAGTCGGTGATGCCCGGCTGGGCACCGCCCTGAAGCAGCACCTCCACGGTTTCGGGGCTGGCCGCTTCACAGGCCAGCATCAGGGCTGTCCTGCTGGGGGAGGGAGCGAATGAGGGGGCGAGGACACCCTTCAAACCCACTTTTCCTTAATCAGAGAGGTCAAGACAACTGTCCTAAGTCGCACAGCACGTGGGGCATCAGCTCACCTGCCCTGCAGGTCCCGGTCGTTCACGGCTGCGCCCTGCTGCAGAAGGAGGCGACACAGGTCAGTGTGACACATCTGAGCCGCGAGGATGAGGGGTGTTGCACCCGACTGATGTGGAAGAAAGGATGAAATGGGGTTGTGAGTGGCCCACCTGGGAGATGTGACGCCTAAAGGCGGCCCCTGAGCTCCATCCCACCATGGCAGCGCACAGCTCTGCTGGCTTCACCCCTCCCCGCCCCCAGTTTCCGGAGGCTCACCCGATCTCGGGGGTTCAGATGGGCTTTAAACGAGCAGAGTAATTCTGAGCAGGAGAGGCAGCCTCCAGCCGCTGGTCAAAGAGAAAAGGGAAGCAGAAAGGCCAGTGTTATTCTCTGGATTACCTCTGCCTAGTTCAAGCCCTCTCCTTCACAAGCTCCTCTTCCCCGTGGGGCATCAATGATGAAGGCATGAGTCCCATTTCACAGATGAGGAACCTGAGGGCCCAGTGGACCCCTGGACACCCTACAAGGTCAGAAGTACAGCCTCCACCCCAGGTCTTTCCATGTTGTGCCTTTTGATATTTTCTCTCTTAAGGTGGAACTTAAAGCTTTGCTACCAAGCCGAAGGTGGGTGATTTTCATCTGTGGCCCTCGGGCCAGGTTCAAATTGTTTTCCTGTCAAACATTCTTCTAGGTGGTATAGCACTGGTCTGTGCGTTGCTGTACAGAGGTAACATGTTGCTGTGATGCTGAACACTGTGACAGTGACGTGCCAATCATGGTAATGGGCACCCATGGTGGACAGTGTTGGCTGGAGCTTCCCGACTAAAACAAGCCTGGAAGCAGGAGCAGTATCCACTTCTGAAATGGCTTGCCTCCAGAAACTCTATGTACGAACAGTGCTCAGGCTGTTCATTCATAGGGTCGTTATGAGTTGTGTACGACTCGATAGCATCAAACAACAACAACAGCAAGGTGGAACTCAAGCTCATTTTCATGTATTTCCCACTTTGATGCAACCAGCCCTTATCATGTGCCCATCCAGTGGCCAGTAAGCCAATTCTGACCCCATGTGCTGCTGGGTAGAAGTGGACTCCACAGTGCTTGGGCTGGGTTTTTTGGGGAGGGGAGGGGATTTTTCTTGCACGTTTCATCGTCCGTTGAGTGAATGGTTTCCCAGAGATGCTGTATTAGGCCATTAGTCACAGCAGCCACATTGCAACAGCACTCTTCCTACTTCCCCCTTGTGAATCTCATTTCCCTTGCTCCCTCTGAGCCTTCTCTCTGGGAAAACACCATGGTCTTGATGGTTGTTCCAAGAAATGACTACACCCCTTGTATTCTTGTTCACCTAACGAGCCTGTCCACTACTGGGCTGACTCCTGAGCCACAGGCTGAGAATAGTCCAGGCTCAAAGGGTGACTGAGGGCCACAGTGGCGGGGTTCCATCAGCCTCTGATGATTTTGAGTGATGAAAGCCACAGAGGTTTTTATGGCTGTAATCTTCTGCAAACAGATTGCCAGGCCTTTCTTCCAAGGTGCCTCTAGGGAGGGGATTCTGACTGTCGGTCAGGATCTATCGGTCAGACTGTCAGGATTCTTGCAGTTGGTCAGCCAGTGCTTACTAGCTCGCACCACCAGAGACTCCACTGACTTGACTGACACCTACTAGGTGTCAAGCTTTCATACGGACAGTATTAAGGTTTTTTTTTTTTTTTTACAAGAGAGACCCGGCCTTAGGCGCACGGGGCAGGCTGCTGGGTTTTGAGCCAAGGGCTGGGTTTTGAAGGGGAAAGGAAGGGGGCTGTGCACTTGCAAAGGCCCTGAGGTAGGAAAGGATGAGGTGAGGAAAAGGAAGTTTTGTATGTCCTAAACTTCAATGAGGGAAAGGGACATGACAGGAGGTGTAGCTGGAGAGGTCAGTGGGTCCTGGCCCTGAGGGCCCTTGAAGGAGGTGACTGGGTCAGGGAGTGTTTTAAATAGCTGAGTGAGATCATCAGCATAAGATGACTTGGAGAGATTTCTTTTAAGCGTGGCTGATGGTGTACATTTTTACTCAGAAAGTACGGAGTCAGAATGTACGGTTTAAGAAGACGCTGAATACTTGCTGTACAATGGAGAGGCAAGAGGCCCAGTTCTAACAAGCAAGGAGGAGAGAAGAGGGAGCAGCAAACCTCATGGCCACTTCACTACACAGCAAGTACTCAGTGTGTTGACTGGAAAAATAGCTGCTTCGTGTCAGTCAGACTTCCCTCAATATTCAGGGATGCAAATTCCGAGAACCCCAGAGGCCACGCTCTTATCTGGGCTAAACAGCCTCCTGCCTTGAGCCTGATCACACAGCAGCCAGAGAGGGACCTCTTTGGCCCATTTTTTAACTGACTTATCAGTCCTTATTTTGGTAGAGGCCCTGTACTATTCTGTAAACTTTTGTTATGGGACCCTTGTCTGAGATAGTGTTGCCAAATGGTTTTTTTCCCAGTCGGTAGGTTTTCTTTTCACCCTGTTGGAAAAAGTTTTTTATGAGCACAGTGATTTAATCTTTAGAAGGCTCCATTCAAAGGGAGTGCTGGTGGCCTAAGGGCAAGAAGCTGAGTTGCAATCCTGAAGGTGGGCAGTTCGAATCTACCAGGTGCTCCGCTAGAGAAGGAGGGGCAATCTCCTCCTATGCTAGTCGGATCCCATTTGATGGCACACAACAAATATTTTTTAAAAAGAAGGCCTTATTCATCAATTTTATCCTCTCCTGGTTGTGTCCAGACCCCTTCAATCAGCATGTCAAAGGATTCATTCCACACAGTCCAGGAAACCTCCCAGGAGCTTCTTGCATCAACCAGATCGCCTGTGGGTCTTGTTAAGCTGTAGATTCTGTTTCTGTACATTTTGAGCAGAAATGCACATTATCAGCCTCGCTTAAAAGAAATCTCTCTAAGTCATCTTAAGCTGATGATCTCACTCAGCTATTTAAAACACTCACTTCCCAGTCACTTCCTTCAAGGCCCTCAGGGCTGGGGCCCACTGACCTCTCCAGCTACACCTCCTGTCGTGTCCCTTTCTGTCATTGAAGTTTAGGACATACATAACTTCCTTTTCCTCACTTCACTCTTTCCTACCTCAGGGCCTTTGCACATGCATGTCCCTCTGTGTACTTCTCTTCCTTTCCCCTTCAAAACCCAGCTCTCGGCTCAAAGCCCAGCAGCTGCCCCACGCAACTAAGGCCGGGTCCCTCTGGTTAAAAAAAAAAAAATCTCAATACTGTCCGTATGAGAGCTTGACACCTAGTAGGTGTCAGTGAAGTCAGAGGAGTCCCTGGTGGTGCCTGGCACCGTATTATTTGAGGCAGGTCTAAAACTCAGGAGCTGGCATCACTAGGTGGCAGCATACGCAAAATATCAGTGTGCTTTTGGCTCAAACTCCAAAGTGCACACAAATTCCTTGTTTCCAAAAGAACAGATGTTTCTTGGGTCGTTTATGAAAGCCATGTGCACCTCGCAGGCACAGTGGACGGGTGCTGGGCTGGGTTCTGGCTCGAGTGGGTGGGTCCTTTCGGCCCAGGAGGGAATGTGTTGACGATGGACAGTTGGCAGCTTGATGTGTGGCCATTCTCTGGGTGTTCCCAAAGGAACTTGAACTCAGGATCACCTCCCAGCTCAGACCCAGCACGCAGTAGGCTGAGCGTGGCTTTCCCAGGCTGCTCAATGAGGCCTGTGTCTCCAGGGGTCCCGGGCATTGCACCTGAGCCCCAGGGTGTGGTACACAGGTGCTCGGTGGAAAAGGGGTAAGAAAAAGGGAAAGGTTGTGAGTGGGTCTCCAGGCTCCAGAGTAACCCCCACGCCTCGCCCCATGGTGGGCAGGGCAGGGCCGCACCCACCTGCGTGATGCAGAGCTGTCCACCCGCTGCTATCTGTGGCGTCCACCACGCAGGAGGCCTGGGGAGGGGGGCAGGAAGAGGAGTTAGGATCATCCCTCCAAGCTGCCTGCCTCTCCCAGGACCCCCACCCCACCCTGGGCTCTGCTGTACTGAATTCTCCTCACCTGCCCCTTCCTCCCTCCCATCCACCTGCTCTGTGGTGCTCATCTCCTGAGGGATCCCTCCACAACATCTGTTTTCATGAGAGCTGTCATGACAGGAAAGAGCCTGGAGGCAGCTGAGGGCTAGGGGAGTAGCTGAGACCTCTAAGATGAGCTGAGGCTAAGAGTCGAGCTGGGGTTGAGGGAGGAACTGGGGCCCAGGTCAAAGCCAGCCTTGAGCGTGAGGAGTATCTGGACACCTGGGGAGTATCTGGCTGCTCAGGGAGTGGCTGGGGCCCAGGAGGATGAACAGTAGCTAAGATTCAGGGAGTATCTCAGGTTCGGGGATTATCCAAGACAAGAAAGCCAATGACCTGTAGCAGCTGCTTCAAGCACTGGGGATGCCCATACTTGGCGGCCAGGTGGAGGGCATTGTAACCTGAATGGAAAGAAGGAGGTTATGGGGTGCCAGAAACTCAAGGTGTTCCCAGCTGCTCCCCAAGTCTGTGTCAAACATTCATGATGCCTTTTGCTGCACCCGGCAATTCCCCAGACTCCAAGGATTTCTCAAAACCTCTTTACTCCTTGAGGTTGGAGACCCTCCACACCATAGTCTGTGTCCGACAAGCCCACCTCAGCCAAACTCACACCCACCTATTTCTCAAGCTCCAATTACTCCCCAGGTCCCCAGCTGCTTCACATGCCCAACCACAGTCAATCCCCAACTGTCCATCGTCACATCGTCACACCCCACAGCTGTTCTTGCACCCCAGCTCATCAATGTACCCATGCAGTTCTATGTGCTAGCTATGGCCTAGTCACTGCTACTCGACAAGCCCCCGGCTACTCCCTAACTAGCTACTGCCCATCACATGAATGCTTCAGATCCGGCTACGCCCCACACCTACTTGCCTCTGTGTCTGAACCATGCTTTTTGGCCATATCTTCTATCTCAGTGGGACTCTCAGGTCCTTGGCTAAGTTATGCATCCGGATTTTCTTTTTTGTCCCAGCTATTCCCAAAGCCACTGCCCTCCAGTCCAGTCCAGCTATCATGACCCCACAGCACAGAGTAAAAAAGAGCTGTGAGCCGAAGAGGATGAAATTGAGACTCTTGACCAAATCTTGCTGTCTGAAATTGACCGAACATGCAGTCAAGATGCATCCATGATCACTGGTGACTGGAACGCAAAAGTTGGAAACGATGAAGTAGTTGAGAAATATGGGCTTGGTAATAGAAATGATGCTGGAAATAGAACGATCAAATTTTGTATTTTCAATGATATAATCATTGGAGACATCTTTTTAAACACCACAAGTGGCGACTTTACACATGGACCTCACTTGACGGGTTGTATAGAAATCAAACTGACCGTATCTGTGGAAGGAATTGTTGGAGAAGCTCAATATTGGCATCAAATTTGGCCAGGGGTGGGCTGTGATACTCATGTGCAAGTTCAAATTGAGGCCAAAAAAATTAAAACAAGTCCAGGAGAACAAAAATATAACCTTGATCTAACCCATCTGAATTTCAAAATAATATTAAGAATAGGTATGAGTTACATGAAGAGAGCAAAAGGTTATTACAAAGACAGAGAAGAAACAACAAATCAAAATAGATGTCAGGAGACTCTGAAAATTGCACTAGCATGTCAAGATGCCAAAACAAAGGAAAAACATGCCGATGTAAAAGAGCTGAACAGATTTCCAAGGGTAGCTCAAGAAGACAAAACAAAGTTTCATAACGGAATGTCCAGAGAGCTGGAATTGGAGAATAAAAAGGAAGAACTCGCTCTGCATTTCTCAAGCTGAGAGAACTAAAAACAAATTTAAGCCTTGAGTAACAATATTGAAAGATGCTGTGGGAAATACCAAGAATGACCCAGGAAGCATCAAGAGAAGATGGAGGAAATACAGAGTCACTGTACCAAATAATAACAGACTGAGACTGAAACATTTCAGAAAATATCATATGAGCAGGAGCCAGTGGTAATGAAGGAGGAAGTTTAAGCTGCCTTAAAGGCATTGGCAAAAATTATAAGGCCCCAGGAATTGATGAGACACCAATTAATTTGTTTTAATTAATAGTTGCAGCCCTATTGTGCTCACCAGTCTATGCCAGGAAATTTGGAGGCCAGCTGTCTGGCCAACTGATTAGAATAGGTCATATCTGTTCCCATTCTCAAGAAAGTGGAAACTATTGAACAAAATCATTAATATCACATACAAGCAAAATACTGCTGATGAGCACAAAACTGGCTAGAACAGTACATAGAAGAAATCCAGAAGTTCACCCAAGATTTAGAAGAGGCTGTGGCACCATGGATATCATTGCTGATGTCAGAGAAATCCTGGCTGAAAGTAAAGAATACCAGAAGAATGTCTATTTATGCTTTATTAACTATGCAAAGGCATTTGACTGTGTGGATAATAACAACTTATGGCTAACATTGAGAAGAATGGGAATCCCAGAACACTTAATTGTGTTCATGTGAAATTTATACTTGACCACATGATTTTAAATTTGGAAAGGAGTGTGTCAGGGTTGTATTCTCTCTCCATACCTACTCAATCTGTGTGCTGAACAAGTTATTTGAGAAGCTGGACTCTATGAAGAAGAAGGTGGTATCAAGATCTCAGGGAAACTCATCAATAATCTGTGTTATGCAGATGACACAACCTTTCTTGCTGAAAGTGAGGAGGACTTGAAGCACTTGTGCCAGAGGATCAAAGAATACAGCCTTCAATATGGGTTGCATCTCAGCATCAAGAAAAAAAAATTCTTACCACTGTACTGACAGGCAAAATTACGATAAAGACTGAAACTGTCAACAGCTCCATCTTACTTGGATCCACAGTCAACTCCCTTGGTGCTTGCAGTCAAAAAATCAGGAGACATATTGCACTGGGAAAATCAGCAGTTAGGGACCTCTCCAAATTGTTGAGGAGTAATGATGTCAGTTTGAGGACTAAGGTGCATCTGATTCAGGCCATGGTGTTTTTAGTCACTTGCTATGCATTTGAAATCTGGGCAATGAATAAGGATGACAGGAGAAGAATTGATGCCTTTGAGCTGTGGCATTTAAGAAGAGTGCTGAACACCCCATGGACTGTCAAAAGAACAAACACATGTATCTTGGAGAAAGTGCAACCTGAGTACTCTTTGGAGGCAAAGATGATAAAGCTTTGCCTCACATACATTGCCAGAAGAGGCTGTTCCTTGGAGAGGGACATGATGCTCAGAAATGCAGAGGGTCAGCGAAGGACAGGAAAACCCTCAACCAGGTGGACTGACACACAACGTGCTCTAGTGTGTTAGGAAGTGAGAGGAGGGCACAGGAAAGGACAGGCTTCAGATCTGTTGTTCACAGAGTTGCTGTGGGTCGTGCTTGAGTCAACAGTGCCTAACAACAGGACAGAGTAGAACAACCCCAGAGGGCCTTCCAGGCTGTATGTCTTTGCAAGAACAACTTGCCACATCTTTCTCCCATGGAGCAGATGGTCAGTTCAAACTGCCCACACTTTGGATAGCAACACAGCCTTACCCACTGTGCCACCAGGGTTCCCTTGCCCAGAGTGCCGCTGCCCCAGCTGTTCACAACCTCAGGCATCCCTCACCTCCGCTTGTTAGTCTCAGGACCCTAGATGCTTCCTAAACTCAGATATTCCCTGAGCCCAGTTTCTCCTTCAAATTTGAGGTACTTCCTTAGTTTAAGAAACTCCCCAGATCCCAACAACTTCCTTATCCCAGGGGCACCTTAAGACTCAGTCTCTGCCTCTGTCCCCACAGCCCCAGGGCTGGCTCTTGTCATAGCCTCTGCCTCCTCACCCAGGAGTAGCCAGGTAGGATTTTGTGACACTCAGCAGGTACAGTGTTTGCCTTCTTGTCAGTTGGTGGTTCGTGGGCCCCTGTGCTGAGCAAGTCTGTCCTGCTCCCTACAGCACCTGCTCACGGTTCTCTGCTTCACGTTTTGGCTATTCTCCTGCTCTTCCACCTTTTGTATAAAGCACATTCAGAGACTACAAACCCAGACCCTGCTCTGGGGCAAGTTCTGACCAGCAGCCTCTGGTTTCCGAGACAGCCTGACTTTCTCCCCCTGAGAGCTGGGTGGATTTGAACCACTGACCTCTCTGTTAGCAGCCCAATGCACTGTTCCACCAGGCTGCTTTCCTAGACAACAGGAGCGTGTAAACCTAACTGTTCACTGGAAGCCTGATCGTCCATGTGGCTCGCTTTACGGACACAAGCACTTTGAAGCTCACCTTATCTCCGAGGCAAACCTAGGCGAGCCTAAGCCTCAGATACTCCCTGCAGATACCTCCTCTGCCTCAGCGGGCCCTCAGACTCAGGTGCACCCACAGCTCATTGACTCACCTGCCTTGGTGCCAGCTCGGGGCCCCGAGCATGTGCACAGCAGTCCCTGAAACTTCCTGGGGTCAGGTAGGGAACGGAAGGGCTCCCCCTTTGTCAGCAGGGCCTGACTGGACCCTGGGGCACCTGGTCTGAGTCTCTCCCCTGGTCCCCCCCTTCCCAGGGCCCAGCTGGCAGTACCTGCCCCATCCGTGCTCATGACATTGGCACCCTGAGCCAGCATCACCTCCAGGCAGCTGGCTGCACCCCTCATGGCTGCCAGGTGGAACCTGCAGGTCAGAGGTCAGGGGTCAGACACTGGGTCATGTCCATCCCGCTGTAGTCTGGTGGTCCGGGGATGGGCACTCACGCGGACTTGCCCTCGGGGTCCAGCTTCGTGGGCACCAGGCCCTTGCGGGCGATGAGGGCGGCCACCCGGGGGGCATCGTCACTGTCCACGGCCTGCAGCAGCCGCTCGTCACTCTTGCCCCAGTCCTGGCTCTGCGGGCACACCCAGAGCACGTGGGCCCAGGTTGGCCGCTGCTCCGCCCTCCCTCCCCCGGGCAGGGGCTCCGAGCAGGGCACCACCCCGGGCACTTGCCTGGCGCCTGCCTCTGGCCACCGGCTTCGGGATGGGGCAGGGGCCGCAGGGCGGGCAGGAGCCCAGCTCGGTGGGGCTCAGCCGCAGCTGCAGGGAAGGGGCTTCTGGGCACGCGTCTAAGACAGAGTCCCCAAGCCTGCGGCCCTGGCACCCGGACCCAAGTCCACCATCCCAGCTGCCCATCCCTGACCAGCCTCTCTTCCCAGAGGGGTCCCCACACCCAGGCCCAGCCTGGTTCTCAGCAAGAAGTCAGCACCTCAACGACGTCTCCACAACGCTCCAAACGACAGCCCAGAGTTCCTCAGAGAACCCCAAGAAAGAGCCCTGGCAATGCCTCCAAGAGCCGTCCTTTGTCACCTTTCCATTCCTTTTTGCCCCTGAAATGCCACCACTGTCCCCAAAGTCCCAGGCCTGTCTGCCTCACTCCATGCCCTGAAGCACGTTCCAAAACCTCTCCCCCAAATTCTAAGCCGACCCCCAAAGGAGCTCATTATGTGCCCAGGAGCTGTCCCCAAAAATGTCTTATGACTTCATCCCTCAGACTGTTCTCCAAACGTAGTATCTCCTCCCCAGAACTGTGCCCAAGTGTCCTCCACTAGGTACGCGCCACTGTCCTCCGAAATTGCTCTCCCATGTCAAGCTTCCCCAAAAGCTGTCCACCAAATGGCTCCACCTGTATCCAGAACCGCCCCCTGCCACCCTACCCCAACCTCCCCGCATTCTTCTAAGTGTCTCCATATGACTTCCAAAGGGTCCCCAGCCTGCACCCTGTCCCTGCCCGGGCTCTGTCCCTGCCCGTCCCCCCTGGCCCGTCCCCCCCACCAGCCCGTCTCCCCCGGCCTGCCCCCCCGCCGGCCCGGCCCCCCTGCCCATCCCCCCCAGCCTACCGCGAACGAGGCGGCCGCGCACAGACACAGCTGCTTCATGGCGGCGGCGAGCGCGGGCCCAGGCGGCCGCCCTGCGCTCGCTCCCTGCCCAGCTCCGCTCACCGGCCGCCGCCCCGCCCCGCCCCCCGGAGGCCCCTCCCCCCGGGCCGGGGGATGGGGGGTGCGGGCGGGGGAGGGAGAGCGGCAAGGGCTCCGCGCTCAGCCCCCACACACGGCAGCCGCCCGACCTCCGCTGGGCCCGCGGGCGTCCACCTCCGACCAAGCCGTGTCACCCCGCGGGGACCCCCACCGGCCACTGGGCCTCAACACGCCTGCGAGTCCGGACCCCCCGCGTCTGCCCGCTCATTCATTCATTCTCTCCCCATCCACCCACCCAGCCACTCATCACCGTCCACGCCGGTCCACCCAGGCCTCTCCTCACCGCTGGCCCACACACACCTTCATTCATTCACTCCTTCATTCGTTCACCCGCTCATCTCCAAGTTTGCTTCCAGGGCCTGACAAGCTTGAATTGGAGCCCAGCGCCCAACCCCCCACCCCTTACTACCTGTATGACTCGCCAACATACTTACTGGTCTTGGACTTCATTTTCTCATCTGTGAAATGGGTTTGGTGGCAGGACCCACCACACCGGGTTACTGGGATAAGAGCTGCCCGGGGACCCAGGGAGGAAGCAAGGGAGAGTCAGGAGGGAGCAGAGGGGCTGTCTGTTTCAGGGGGAACCCGAGGAAGCTGGGAGGGGCTGCCGGGAGGAGGACAGAGGAGAAGGGGGTGGTCCGCTCTGTGGGTGTGCATGCAAACTCACCGAGGTGGGGAGACAAGGGCGAAGAAAGAGATTAGGCCTTTTCCAAACTCAAAACTAAGAGCAGCGACCCTGTGGATGGCTGGGCAGAGGTCTGAGCCCAGATCGGCCACTTTCCAACCTTGAGCTCTGAGTGGTGCGATGGTTAAAGCATTCAGCTGCTAACTCAGAGGTCAGTAGTTCAAGCCTGCCAGCTGCTCCATGGGGGAGAGAGACGTGGCCAGCCGCTTCCAGGAAGAAGCCAGGGCAGCTCTGGGAGGGGATCCATCTGACGCCAGTGGGGGTGGTGCTCTGGCCGTGGTGTGATTTCATGGGCACTGTGCCCTAGGCCTCAGTCTCCCCACTGATAACAGAAATAGCATCACAACATAGCCTTTCTCCCAAGTCTCCCACCCTGGTGTGGTGCCAGGTCTGTGCACTGTGGACTGTTGGTCAGCATCTCTATTCTCACCACTCCACACCTTTCCCCTGACCACGGTTGTGACAAAAAATGTCCCAGATGTCACCCAAATGTCCCCTGGGAACAAAACGGCCCCGAGTGAGAAGCCCTGGGTTAGGTCAGCCCCGTGAGACTGGGTCCCATGAACTCCTGCCCTCCTGCTGACCTAGGACCCTGCCCACACAGTGAGAGGTCAAGGTAAGGGGAGAGGAGGCGACACAGATGCTGAGGTGAGCCGGTCCACACTGAAGTCCACACACTGAGGTTTAAGGGTGAGGGGACACAGAGGCTGAGGGGCCCCCAGCTGACCTAGGACCCCCACCCACTCTGAAGTCCACACACTGAGGTTTGGGGGGGGGGCACAGAGGCTGAGGGCCCCCATGGCTCGCGGCACCTCACCAGTGGGAGTTGGTGCTGGTGGCCTTGGCTCAAGCTGTTCCAGACAATGAATGCAGGCCAGTCCCCTGGGCCCTCTGACATGGGGCTGCACCATCCCATCCGGCCATCCTGGGGGGACACCCTGTGCTTTTCAGGGCTAGCAGCATCTCTGGCCTGCATCCAATCACAGCTTCACCCCCAAGCCAGGCCAACTCAGAAGCGGGCTAAATGTCCCCCGGGGGGCACAATGGCCTGGGGGAAGGTGGGCAGTGGACAGAACAGCGGTGCTAAGATTACAGCCGGAGGTTTTACACCGCTTTTGAGCAGTGGGTGAGGGGCAGGTACCCAGGGATGGGCATGTGGGGAGATCCCAAAGGCTCCTCCCCCCTGGCTCTCAGAGGTTGGCAACCCTCCTGCCTCAGGCCTCTGATTTCCAACAGCCCCCCAACCCATCCTCCTGGATACAATGCAAGCTCAGAACACGCACTGTGTGTGGTCCCCACACCTGCGCCAAGCACCCCACCCTCTGGGGCTCCGGCCACACCCTGGAGTCACTTCATCTCCCTCTGTCTCTTCCTACCACCCAATCCAACAGCCAATCCCACCAGCGCCCAGAGCCCACCATCCCCAGACCCCTCCCCACCCTTGCCTTCTCCAAGCCTCCCCACCAAAGCCCCACTGCCCACTGTTAAGTGCTGTCAAGTCGGAACTGACTCACGGCTGACCTTGCAGCAGCCTTTCATTTACAGCAGGTTGTAAATCAGCTTTTCATTTACAGCAGATTGTAAATCAGCCTTTCATTTACAGCAGGCTGTGAATCATGAGGGAGGGGACTGCCCGTCTTTCCTGCACAGAGCACTTGGTGTGTTTGAACCTCCTGCCTTTGAGACTGGCAGCAAAACTCCTGCCGCGAGGCCCCCAGAGGTTCCTTCACTGCTGACTAGTCAATCCCACCCCGTAGCGCCCAGTGGAGCAGGTGGGTCCGGACCCTGTCCTGGGCAAGGGGCCTTACACAAGCTGATGGCCCGCTCTTTCTCCCAGGAGCTGCTGGGGAGTTTGAACTGCCAACCTTAACCACTCTCTTCAGGACAAACCCAATCCCAATCCACTGCCCTCCTGTCCGCTGCCTGCGTGACTTGGGGCAGAGGAGAGCTGCCCACAGCGCTTCAGAAGCGGACACCACACCTTTCTCCCTGGGGCTGGTGAGTGTGAAAGGCCAATGACCTCGTGAGATACGATCTGCTTAGCAACTTCCACAGCACGGCCATCTGCAAACTCAGGCCCCATCACACCCAGGCCCCCCACCCCAGTTCCATACAGCTTGAGACCAGAAGTGGATTCTCAGAGTGTGTGTGTGTGTGTGTGTGTGTGTGTGTGATGAATTTATTATTCTTTTTTAAAAAATTGATTGTATTTCCCTCATGGACTTTTTTCTCTCATATTTTTTAATGGTTGGCAAACCATCTACAGAAAAATAATATTCAGAGACACTTGAACATTATGTGAAGTTCATGTTCAGTGTCTGTAAATAACATTTTCTTGGCACATAATCATGCCCCTTATTTGCTTATCCCTGTATCTGCTTTTCGCCTCAATGGGCAGATGAATAAATGCAACAGAGACTTGACCCACAAAGCTAATGGTCTTTACTGTCTGGACAGTTAAAGAGAACTCCCGGAACTTCTGTTCTCCAGGATCCCCCGCTTCCAGTTCCTGGAGCTGTGAGCACACACACATCTCACTCGTGGTCCACCCCTCATGGCTGTGGTCTCCCCTTTCCACCGCTGGAACACACCTGGGTGTTCGCCTCTGCTCTCCCTGCAGCTTCCTTCCCCCACAGTCCACATAAAAACCCAAACCAGCTCCTCTCCAACCCATCCCAATGCACAGGGACCCCACGTGTGTCAAAGGAGAGCTGTGCTCCAGAGGGTTTTCAATGGTTGTGTTGGAAGTAGAACACCAGCCCTTTCTTCCGAGGTATCTCTCAATGAAGTGGGGTTTTGGGTTTTAAAAAAAATTTGTGTCTGTGTGTGTACACAGTCAAATCAGATCTGACTGGTACAGGAGGAGATTGTCCCTCCTGCTCCAGCAGAGCATCTGGTGGCTTCAAACCATGCACCTATGCGATTGCAGTGCAGCTTCTTGCTACTAGGTCACCAGAGCTCGCCTCAGTGAAGTGTTTTAAGGACTCTCATTGCCCCAGAGCCAATCCCTTGACTATTGTCTCTGATTATGAATTGTTGTTGTTGTTGTTATTGTTGTTGTTGTTGTTGTTAGGTGCCATCAAGTCAACTGTCACGTAAAGCAATGCTCTCTGTGAGTAATAGAGTTGAACTTTGCCCTATCTTGCAAGTTCTGGCTAACACTGAAAAAATGGGAATCCCAGAACACTTAATCATGCTCATGTGAAACCTAGACCTAGACCAAGCAGCTGTTGTGTGAACAGTGCAAGGGAACACTACGGGGTTTAAAATTAAGAAAGGATTGTGTCAGGGTTGTATCCTTTCTCCATACCTATTCAGTCTGTGAGCTGAACAAATTATTTGAGAGACACTAGACTCTATGAAGAAGAATGTGATATCAAGATGAGAGGAAACCTCATCAATAACCTGCAATATGCAGATGACACAACCTTGCTGGCTGACAGCAAGGAGGACTTGAAGCACAGGCTGCAAAAGGTCAGACACTGCAGCCTTTGACTTAGATTACATCACAACGTCAAGAAAACAGAAATTCTTCCCACTGGACCAATAAACAACATCATGATGGAGGGAGGAAAAGTTAAAACTGTCAACGACCTCATCTTACTGGCGTCCATAATTAATACACCTGGAACTAGCAGTCAGGAGATTTGGAGACGTATTGCACTGGGAAAGTCTGCAGTCAGGACCTCTCCAAATTACTGAGGAGAAATGATGTTAGTGTGAGGACTAAGGTGCACCTGACTCAGACTTTTCCATCACTTGCTATGCATCTGAGAGCAGGACAATGAATAAGGATGGCTGTAGCGGTGGAGGAGAGCACTGAAAACACACGGACTGTCAAAAGAACAGATATGTCTCAGAGAAGTTGGAACCAGAGTTCGCCTTCGAAGTAAGGATGACCACGCTTTGTCTCACATCCTTTGGGCATGTTGCTAGGAGAGGCTACTCCTTGGAGAGGGACATCATGCTTAGAAAGGTGGAGGGTTAGGGAGCTCTGTGGCCTAGTGGCAAGACGCTGCACTGCAGTCCCAGAGGTACGCAGTTCAAATCCACCAGATGCTCTGCTGGAGAAGGAGGGAGCAATCTCCTCCTGTACCAGTCAGATCTGATCTGATGTACATGTAAAAATAATACAATAAAAAGAAAAAGAAAAAAGAAAGGTGGAGTGCTGGCAAAAGAGAGGAAGACCCTCAATCAGCTGGATTGACACAGTGAC